ATATTATTAAACGAAAAATGCTAACTAAAACGTAGACAAGTGCTGCGGCTGTGTCTGCCGTTCGAGTGCTTGAAGCGAAATAGTGACTCGCAACTCTGCAGCACGTTGTGTTACGAGATCGCCGAGAGCTGTGCCGCTCTCTTGCATTGTCTCTCGCTCTCGCTCTCTCTTCATCTCGCTCTTAGTCTCCTGCCCGAACTCTCTCTTTGGTTATGCAAGAAAAGCGCGCCTCGGATCGCGCCTTGGCTGAAGAATTTATGGCTTCTCACCTTGCGGCCAGTCTTTGGGTAAGTAAACCTTGCGTTATGCTTCGCGTTATGCCGCTCAGCCCTCAACGTTATTGGTAGCCCATCATAAATGCCAGTCTATACCAATCTTGATATGGGAACAGTTGAGGTCTAGTTATCTGACCAGCACCCACAGGGATCTAGCGCTATATCTGGGCCAGATATGAAGGCAATCTATTTGCAAACAAGTTAAATGCATTGCATTTCTAAGCCCAAGATTAGATCAAAAATTACTCTAAGATAAGTTGACAAAGAGTGGGAATTAATGCCAAAGGGCAACTAATCTTCATGCTTGTCAATTACTGTGACCCTTAGCCCCAGTCGGATCTTTAGGAAACTTTCAGAAATTATGAATAACATTTAAATTTGTGTATATTCGAAAAACGAGGGCTATAACTTCTTTATTTCTTATTTTATTCGATATATAAAAATTCTAGGTCTCATTAAATATATGCTTGATAATCTGAATTTTAGACGCTCAATGGCGCAGAGTATTTAGATAATAAATTGAAAGATATGAATAAGACTAGCAGGATGTTGAAGATGCCATTTGCCATTTTCCATTTGCATGGTGTACAGAGTATTTTAAAGCGAATTGCTTGGATTATAAAAGAAAACTACGTTAATCTGTAGCCAGTTTCTTTGATTGACTCATGTCCAATATACTGCTTAGCTCTTTGACACAAATGAATCGAAATGTGATTCAATCAGAGGATAGACCAGCCCACATCGAGTCCACATAACGATCTGCATAAGCTGCTAACCAGTTTTGGGCTGGACAAGTCGCTGACTTGGGCCGGGACGTGGTCCCGCTGGCAATCACAGTCAAGCGTAGCGCTCGACATGTTTATTTAAAATGTTATCATTTTATCATCGCATGGGGTCGATCCATTGGCAGATCACGCACCAAATGAGCGTGGCCCAACTGCTCTACGCGGTAGTTCGACACGTAATTAACTAAATGAAATTGTTATTTGTGACTCCCCAAGCAGCACTCACTCGCGCTCCGAATAGAAATTAGCTGCGACATGCGAGATAGGCGATCGTCTGCCCCGTGTAAATACGTAGGAACAGCATTTTGCCGTGGCTGAAAAAGTGGGCCTGAAAAGGGGATGGGCGGTATAAATTGCAGAATAAAATAGCTCTATATACGTTCGTTATCGCAAATCTTTCATGCACAATTAACGCGCTCTTAACCAAATAAAACGCCAACTCTTTGCAGAGCTGCTTCCTCTGCTGCCGTTTTCCATTTATTTAAAGACTGAAATTATTTATAAACATTTGTTGATCGCAACAGCAGCTTATCAAGCAAATAGACCCCGCTCTCGAGTATTTGAGTTTGTCTACGCTCCAGCGTACTCTCTCTCTCTTTCTCTCACTCTCGATACTTTTGCAACCTGCTCTGATCAATCGTCCCGAGAAGTAAGTGCAGCGTCATGAATCACCCTAGTGCACAGCAGAGTGCAAAATGTATTCAATCTGAATACACACAACAAAATCGTTTTTCACCGATCGCTTCACTGATAGCCATATCGTATTGTACAGTGAAGGCTCTATTAACGAACAGCTCGCTTAACTTTTAGTCCCAATATTATACTGCTGTTTCAGCTGAAAGATTTCGAAAGAGGTTTGTGGATTCAATCAGATCTTTTCTAACGTGTGGGCGATGGTGGAAGGGGATCTATAGACATACCCATAATAACCTAAGATATCCCAGAATATCTGGAAACTTTAGTATTTAAAATCAATTTAACGAGTACATAACTTTGATACGAGTCTCGTACCATTGTTTTGTATGTCCATTATAATTTGCATCGCTCATACGCCCCAATGTCGCGAACAAATAACCAAAACAAATGCAATGAAAGCCCGCTTCACAAGCAAAAAGAAAGCACAGCATAAACGTAAAAATATCAACAACAAATGTAAAAGCAAAGAAATGCCGGCAAAACGGGCAAACAACTAGGGGAAAGAATACTGCGTAATGCAACTGCAACCGTCGCGAACTCAAACAAGTTGCAAGCGGTGCGACTGAAACAGATTCGAATCAAACTGCAACAGCGAACAGCAACAAAAGCAAAACAACTACAAAGTGCAGCGCCGGCGAAAGTATCAGCAGCAGCAGCAGCAGCAACAACAACAACGTGAAGAAGAGCAACAACAGCAACAATGACAGTGTGACAGCCAGCCAATGTGTGTGAGGCTGCCTATGTACAAGGGCGCGCTTGCATGTCTGCGTGTTTGTTTGCCAGCTTGCGAGAGGGGCAAACGTGTTTGTATGTGTGAGTGTCTGTATGTGTCTGTGTACAGCCCCCAAAAGCATTTCTCCAAATGCAGCGACGTCGACGGCAGCGTCATTCGCTCTCTGGGCTTTGATACCGTTGCCATCGTCCGTTGCATTCAGTCGCTGGTCGCACTCGGGGCCCAAGCAAACACAGCCAAACATTACACATACACAGAGAAATTCGCTCGCACACACATACGCACACACGAACTCACACAAATACATGCGGAAATTCGCTGCCTGCTGCGCTCAACGATTTTTGAGTTCTTCGCATCCGCGTCTTGGGGCCCAATGTGAGTTGCCTTGCGCACGCCAAAGATTTCAGATCGAACAGCAGCACCAGCAGCAGTCGCAGTCGCAGCCGCAGTCGCAGCCGTAGTAGCAGCAAAAAAAAAGCTCAGCTCGCGCGAATCGCGAACCTCCGTCACAAAGTGTGCACGCATAAAGGAAAAGCCCTGCTAAACAAACAGATCGATCATATAGATTTCTTCAGTTGTCTGAATTAATTCCTTCATCTTTTTTTTTTATCACGTATCGTTTATCGTGTTTGTCGCTGTCGTGCTTGTTGTTGTTGTTGTCGTGCGTGTTTTGCCGGCGGCGATCGCTCGCAAAAAAGTTCTCAAGTGATTTTTTGTTTGTTCTGTGACAATATTAACAGCAATAAAAAATGCTGCAAATAAATTAATAACTAATAAACGAATACAATAATTAATTACGCATAAATATAAGCGTAATTTTTAAAAAAATATATATATACATATACATATATTTATAAAACTTTAAATTTAAACTTCATGTCTAAAAGTCAGTTAAACGTTAATTCAATATTCCAAAAATAATCGCATATACTCCCAACTCTAAATAAATAAAACATAAATATTATTAACATTTTGCAATCTGCATACTTGATATAAGGTAAAGCAAAAACATAAGTGAAACAAGACTATTCCATATAAACATTAGGCACAGATTTGAAATGAAACTATTTCTAAATATTCCCATAAAAGTTTCTACAATTAAATACATCTTTACTCAATATATTTTCCTTATCAAGCAGAGAGATATTTATAAGCAAACGATAAAGTATATATTTATACAGAAATAATCAGGACTACTTTAACTGAGAAGGCGTTTTATTATTAAATAGCTTTATTCTCAATCCCGCTTGTAAAGTCCAGACCTGACTTTGAGAAACATTCTGTCTGTCTTAAATTTATTTTTAGAATACAAAAACTTTTTCCCTTCTACTAATTTCCTTTAAGATTAATACTTTGGTAATTTGTTCTATCGAATATTTAAATTAAAAAGTTTGCGTTGCTCTGATCTATACTACATGGTCCATGCTGAGCTCTATTTCAAATAAAAATAGGTAGATGGTATTATGAAGCATCGAATTATTGCCCGTGTGAAATATTATTAGTGAATGCGACATTCGAGTTCTGTAATTTACATATATTTCGAGGATTAGATAATTGGCAGACAGTTTTAGAAGTATCTGTATAATTTATCGCGCTGGGCAGCTCCACCTTTAAATTGTAACCGATATTCACAACATAAGATTACATCAGCTGATATTTGTTTAAACATTTGTTGCTCTGCTTGGTGCCAAAAGGCGTGTCACTGTTCAAAGATTATCAATTGCACAACATTTTTGACCATTTTTTATTTTGTTTTAATTGCCCAGCCACATGCCATGTCAGGCTACAAAAATTTCAACTTTTAGCTTGAATTATTTTGAAATTAGCAAAGAAAAACAAAATTCGAAATATAAAGAAAAATCATATGAAAAGCTCCCACACAATTGCCGCTTAAAAGTGCGTGAAAAATTGTTTGGCTAAATATTGGAAAAATTCTTCGGGCATAATAAACAAATGCAATTTGTTTGGCAATGCAAGCGAAGCGTGTCGAACAGCGTCCAAATAGCATCCCAATAGGCAAAACTTTCATCTTATACGAAATATTATTTCTCCGGAACAATTGGCCAAATTGCACAGCTGTTTGCCTGAACACCCCCCTCCGTCGATTACATCAGCAGCCACCCTATTTTCTAGAGGGGGAAGGGGGTCTGCGGCTGGGCATATATTGCGGCTTGCCATACAAAAATTGCTTATCTAAATTAAAAATTGTCCAAAACAAACTGCATATTTTTTGTTGTACTTTCAGGCCCGAAAATCAGTATAATAAAATTAAAAAATTATTTAGTGCTAAAGCTTAAACAAATCATGTCTTTGTCTTTCTTTGCAGGCAACAATATTGAAATTAATATAAAAATAAACAAAATCTGAATATAAAAAGAAAAACGAATTAAACAACAAAAAAAAAATAAATCAATTACGCACATCAGAAATTTAGTCCACGCCATTTATAGAAATATTGAAAAAAAAAAACACAATACTTAATCTATTTAAAACGGAATTAAATTAAATTATCAATCAAATTAAATTCTTCAATCTGCTTTAAATCTATTCAAATATATTAACACAAAAAAAAGCACCAACTAATTAAGCGTTTAATAAATATCAACCAACTAAAATATTTAAAATAATAATATGAACTATTCAATTTAATCGAAAAATGCTACCCAATTGCTGCGAGGCTTAAAGTTTGAAGGCCAATTAAATAAAATACTTGGGATTACGCCGCGCGCGCAAACAAGTTGAGCACAGTTACAATACACAGACTGGTTGTCCATTTGGCATGGTTTCAGAGGAGAATTGGAACAGCGACACCATGTCCGACTCGGACATGATCGACTCGAAGAACGATGTGTGTGGCGGCGCGTCCAGCTCCAGCGGCAGCTCCATATCGCCACGCACGCCGCCCAACTGTGCGCGCTGTCGCAACCACGGGCTGAAGATCACATTGAAGGGCCACAAGCGGTACTGCAAGTACCGCTATTGCACCTGCGACAAGTGCCGGCTGACCGCCGATAGGCAGCGCGTGATGGCGCTGCAGACGGCGCTGCGGCGTGCTCAGGCGCAGGACGAGCAGCGATCGCTGCACATGCACGAGGTGCCGCCGCCGGCGGGCGCTACAGCGGCCCTGCTCAGTCATCATGGGCATCATCATCATGTGCATGCGCACGCCCACAGCCACGCCCATGCGCATCACGGGCATGGCCATCATGCACATGTGTTGCACCACCAGCAGCAGCAGGCCGCAGCGACGGCAGTGGCAGCTGCACCGCCGCCACAGCCGCCATCGCATCTGGGAGCTGCTGCCCACAACGGCTCGGCGGGCAGTCTGCATGGCCACGCCCATGCGCACGCCCATGTGCATCATGCTCATATGGCAAGCAGCGCCGTCGCCTCAGTGGTGCAACAGCAGCAGCAGCACCACCACCAACAGCAGCAACAGCAGCACCAGCAGCACCACCACCACAGCAACCACCAGCAGCCCCAGCCGCAGCCGCATCAGGCATCGCTACGATCTCCCTCACACAGCGATCATGGCGGCAGCGTGAGCGCAGCCACGAGCAGCTCCGGTGGCGCGAGCTCCAGCAATGTGGCAACTGCCTCAAGCAGCGGCACGGCCGTAGCAGGCGCCGGCAGCGGTGGCATTAGCGTCATAACCAGCGCTGATCAACACATGTCCACGGTGCCAACGCCCGCACAGTCCCTGGAGGGTTCGTGCGACTCATCATCGCCATCGCCATCGTCCACATCGGGCAACGCCGTTCTGCCCATCTCCGTGTCCAGCACACGCAAGAATGTGCCACTGGGTAAGTGCTTAAGCCAAAGTTTTCCACTCGAATACCGTTTATGTCATGTTAAGAACAACGAGAAACCGGGTACTCCAACTTCGATCCTTAAGCAAGTGGGATATAGGCATTTCTTAGGTAACAGGCAAATAGAAGCCATTGCTGCATAAGAGTTTGGCTCAGAGTTAAATAATACCCATAGCAATAATAATGAATCATGATAAATGAATAATGAATAATAAATAGTGAACAATGAATAACGAATAATGAAAAACTTATAATGAATAATTGATAATAACTAATTAATAATTAATAATGACTAATGACTAATTAATAATAACAATAATAATAACAATAATTATAAAAATAATAATTATTAATATTAAATAATAATAGCAAAAACAAATGGAGTATCATCAAAAGTAACTGTCAAGAATATCTGATGCCCAGTCAAAAATTTAAGGAAGATCTATTATAAAATATTATTTTTGGATTTTTTAGTAGCGAAATTTCTAAAGACAAGAATTAAAAAATATTCAAACCAAGTTGTACTTCAATTGCGACAGTTTTACGTTTAATTCAAGGGTGCAGTTTATTTTAACAAGCATTTTGAAACTTCATTCAAGACTATTTTTCCTATTAAAATTCATACTATGCTTTTATGCATTTATTAAATACCTCAGAAAAGAAAGCAAGGCAAAAATTGGCAGACAGCCGACATTGTTGTCAGTCTGGCAACTAAGTGTTTTGTCACTTTAAGAGTCCACAATGCAACCACTAATAGAGGGCAGCGCAGGCAGTACTTACCAACATCTCGACTCTGGGCACGTACACACATGGTGGCAGTCGGGCAGCAGAGCCTGCAACAGGCCTAATCAAGTTGCAGTTGTTTATTGTGGCAGTCCCGAGTCTCGAGTCCGGGCAAAGCAAGGGGAACAGCTCTGGAAAGCTGCCAGCAGTCGCTGGCCGCCCTTTTGGCCAGAAGATGTGCCACTAATTGTTTACTCTGTGGCAAATGGCAATTCCGTGGTATCACATTGCATAATCAATTATTCCGCAATATTGAGGTTGTCAACAGATTCGACTCATATACATTTCGAATTAAAAATACCAATTTTTCAAAATATTAATAATTGATTTTAAAGCTTTGCTGTGGCTTAACTAATTTAATTTAATAATTTAATAATTTAAACTAAGGAATAACTTGAGCTACCCAATTTAAACGGTCTAGCTGACTATTATAATGATTTGGGTTCCAAAACTGTAGTTCTAAAGCAATGAGTTTCAAAATATAAAAGAAAGAGTAGAATATGCAACGTTAGCCTATTTTAATTTATCATGATGCTGTTTGTGATCCTAAAACTGTACCCACAAGACAGTGGCTTTTAAACTGCAATATAAAACTGTAAGAAGATTAGTAGATTATCATGAAGCTAACTGTAACTACAAGTCAGTGGCTTTAAAACTGTAAGAGAACGAGAAAAAGATAATCAATAAGCTAACTGTCAAGTGTTCAGACATTCGCCTATTATTTTGATGTCTATAACTATAATAGTGTAACTAAAAGTCTGTGGCTTTCCTACTGCACTATTAAAACTGTGAGATGAAGAGTAAGAGAAAATCATCAAGTTAACTGCCAAACTTTGAAGGTCATTATTTTGATGTTTGTGACTCTTAAACTGTAAAAAAATAATAGATCTGCAAAATTGAGATTATTCAACATACTCTCTTTTACTTTGTAAACAGAGTGTACAATTGATTAGAAGCGATAAAATGTTTTTTCATTACGAAAAATCCCAAATATTCCTATTTACATTTCACTTAATTAAATAAAATTTAAATTTCATCAATAAAAGCGAAACACATCAAAAATATATACAAGATTTTCGTCAGACTGATCCGTGGCACGTGTAGCCTCTGTCTAGGCGAATATCTAAAATTGGCTGCACAATCAAGACAAATTGAATCGTGCAGGAAGGGGGCATAAAATGAGCATAGGCGCCAAAAGCGTCACCATCTCAGAGGCAACTTTGATGCCAAGTGCCAAATGCCAAGTGTGTTTGGCTTGTGGTGGCTCTTTCTGGTTTCAGTTGATGAGTGGGCAGCAAAGCGAATGAACGTGAAGTGCAACAAAGTTGCCGGGCAGCAAAACAGAAAACAGAAAACTCGAAACTCGAACTTAAAAGTGAGGCTCGAGCTCGGCAACAAGTTTGAGCCGAACGGGTTAGGCGAGGTAGCCCGACAGATTACAGTGGGTGCCAGCCAAGCGTCGGCTACCGTTTGAATGGATCCAGGTTCGAGTCCGTCAAGCGGCAGTCTTTTGCGCATTGTCTTTACACCCATGTCCGATCTGTCCGAGGATATGTGTCTGCATGTCTGAAATCATTGGGTTATCACGCGAATGGGGAAATGTGTCTGCTGAGTGTTTTGATGAATGTACATGACGGGCTGCCCCGACAGGCTAGGCTCATAAGCTGCCGGCACTTGTACTTGTCTGCAATTTAATTCAGTATTTGTATGCGTTCTGTGTGTGCGTGTGTATTGCGGCTGAGCAGCAATTAGAGAAAATACCTGGCCAAAAGAGAGACGCGCGACGAGGCTAAGTGCAAGTGCGCGCAAGAACTGACACTAATTTTATGGCCAGCTACTTTGTTGGACAGACAGCAACATGTACTTATGACATATGTGATTTATCTTCAGCCATTTAGTTAAGCTGGGCAAAAAGACAGAAAAAACATATGTGCAGATATAGATATGCATAAAGATTTGGTATCAATATTTATACAGCAAGAAAACTAGATTTGTTGCTGGAGCTAGCTTGTCAAGGGAAAGGGCTGAAAAAGTCAAATACTTCTTTTGAAATTGAACGGGCAACCAACATTTTTTTGGGCTTGCAGCTATAATAGAGATAGGTAAAGGTACTTATAGGGAAATAAATACATATAGCCCAAGATAGTTGTACCTATATATATATATATATAGGCATAGCTAGACTGAGCAATAGAGATAAGTATGGGTATGGAAACAGACGTGCGCTCTGTGCGCATACTTATAAAGAAATACACCTACACTGCGCTCTTATAATAATTTGAATTACTTTTTGCAAAAACAAATTCAGGGAATATAAAAAATTCTTAAGAACGAGTATTTACGACGTCTTGAGGCACTCTCTACCCTGCCCCCTCCCCTCACCCACAATCTTAAGTTTTAATCGATCCCTGTTCTATTCCTAGTCACGTAACTGCAACTGCAACTGCAACTGCAACTACGACTGCAATTATGAGAATGCTTTCGACTTGGCTGCCAGCAGGTAGTTTAGCAGTCGTAAAACTTGGCTGGCTTTGGGTTTGGCATTCGGTTTCGGAAGGTTTTTATGCCCTCAAACAATTGAAAATGGGAAAGAGGGTATATTGATTTTCAGCAAATGTATACAACAAGCAGACACGTTAAGAATTATCAATTCGTGATCAGCTTTACAAGCATTTGTACAATATTATCTCAAAATTGCATTAAATCGATAAATATTGATAAAGATAGCTGTAGAAAATACAGAATTAAAATATTTATTTTTTTAGATATCTGACTTGTTTTCCGAAATTGGAGAAGAGCTCATTGCTGAGGGTAGAGCATTGAGATTACTTACTTAAGCATTGTAAATTGCAAAACGATCGGACTATAAGAACCGATTTTATTAAAGAAACCATTTCCCGTACCTAGAGCGGGGTTAGGCTTGGCTTCTAAATCGTGCGATACGTTCTTGTGTATGTCTCTATAGAATGGGTATATGTCAGTCGGGCACTCGCACTTGTTTCTAGAGGTATGTAGGGTTTTACGGGTTCGAATCGGTAAGCCGTAAATACCAAGTGGCTCGGCAGTTAGCAGGTTGCAGGCTCGACTGCCAATCGATAGACTTCGGTTTCAGTTAATTAATTTAATGCGCTTGCGCTAATTTCTAGACTCTAAAGACAGGCAGCTCGGTTCCTCTTCCCATGGCGTGCCTGTGTGTGTGTGTGTGTGTTTTTTTTTCGCCAGAAAATCCCCAACAAACTTTGGCGCGCTCGTAAAAATGAAGTTGTAAAATGTATTTTTGTTACCCTTTCTGCTGCTTGTTGTGTTTTCGATTTCATTTCAAATGGCAGCCATATTTTGTTGCTGAAGTAGTTTTGCATTTTTTTTTTTTGATATTTTTTATTTTTATTATTATTTGAGAGAATTGCACTCTGGGGCGGTCCAGAGATCAGCAGGCGCGACTTGACAGGTCATTTCGTTGCATAATTTATGAGATTTCCAGCTAATATGTTGGCATTACTTTTTAATACTTTTGCGGCGCTTTATTGAAAGCCAGGATTATGCGCCCAAATGACTCTTTAATTATGTGGCCAGCAGCAGAGCTGGCCGACAGTCCGGTAATACAAAAAAAAAAAAAAACAAAACAAAAACAACAACTGCTGAAAAACAATTTTAACTTGAACTATAAAAACATGTTGAAGTTGCTTTTATGAGCAGAAAATTAGTCTAGACGAGGCCAAGGGCCTTCTTACTGAAATACACACAACTCCATGGATCTACAATTGTATTTACCGCAACAGCTGCATATTGAACTCATCCTGTCTTCCTGCCTTTCCTCTCTGGTATAAACAGCTCTGGGCCTGAACATTCATTTACGCGTCGACTCTTCATAATCATATGCAAGTGCTTTATCAGCCAGAAGTGCCAATCAGCCAAACCAAGTCAACACGTTTTTATTTGTAAGCTCCTAATTGATTTAAATCGCGTGCCAAAAATGCGGGCAGCTCACCTGACGCCCCGCCTTAGTGCACCCTGCAAGTGCTTATTATAATTAGGCTTTTTTTTCTGCTTCGTTGAAGATGTGAAGACCTTAATTATATAGCTACGTTCGAAAGTACAGCGGATGGCTAATCAAAGGGCGGAAGTTGTAAAACTAGCTTCAGTGCAGCCAACTTGTTACACTATTGAAAACGCAAGAGCCTGCAAATATTTTAATATGGCTTAAAACTATG